CCCCCTTGCCCCTCGGCATCCACTTTGCTTGGTGCATCCCCCCACCCACCCCTTCCCCGGTCTGCAGCTCCCCAGGGAGGCCCCCGCCCAGCCCCGGGAGTGGGGGTCCCCGCGGGGCTGTTAATGCGCACGGGGGTCTCTGCTCTCCAGGAAGGAGGTGGGTCTGGACCTCTTCTTCCCCAGCCAGATGCAGGAGAACCTGAAGGTGAGGGACGTGTGTGGGTGCGGACAGGCAGGGCTGGGTGCATGAGTGCAAGGTGCGTGAGCGTGCACGGACGTGGCTGGGGGTGCTCATGTGCACGCATCGAAGTGCGCGCATAGATTTGCACGTGTGCGCACAGCCGCCCGCACTTGTGCACGTGTGCGGTTGTGCTCACACACGTGAAGATGTATCTGCGTGCCCACACCCGTGTGCACGTGCGTATACATGCACATACGGGGCCAGGTGTGCGCATCGGTGTGCGTGCGTGGGCTTGCACACACATGTATGTGCACATCTGCCCGCACTTGTGAAGTTGCGTCTCCCTCTGTGTGTGCATTCACATGCAGGGCCGTGTGTGCTCCTGTGCATATCAGCGTGCACGGGTGGATTTGCACATATAGGCATGTCTGCTCACACATGTGAAGGTGTATTTGCATGCATGTGCATACGTATGCATGTATATCTATGCAGATGTACGCATGCAGGCACATCTGCTCACGTGTGATGATGCATCTGCATGCACACGCATGTGCGCGTAGGTATGCACGCATGTGGCTGTTCGTGCACACATTGGCTTGCGCACACGTGTGCATGCACATCTGCCCACGCTCGAGTACATGTGAGCGAGCACGCGCACACGGAGGCATGCTGGCACGCGCACACGTGTGGACATGCATGGGTGTGCACACAGATGCATGTGCATATTTGTGGGTGCATATTCATATTTGCAGGTGAGTGCATGCGTGCCCGTGTCCGTGTGTGTGCCCGTGTCCATGTGCGTGCCCGTGTCTGTGCCTGTATCCGTGTGCATGCCCGTGTCTGTGTGCGTGCCCATGTCCGTGTGCGTGTCCGTGTCCGTGTGCATGCCCGTGTCCATGTGTGTGCCCGTGTCCATGTGCATGCACGTGTCTGTGTGCATGCCCGTGTCCGTGCCCGTGTCCATGTGCGTGCCCGTGTCTGTGTGCGTGCCTGTATCCATGTGCATGCCCGTGTCCGTGTGCGTGCCCATGTCCGTGTGCATGTCCGTGTCCATGTGCATGCCCATGTCTGTGTGCGTGCCTGTGTCCGTGTGCGTGCCTGTGTCTGTGTGCAGCTCGCACCCTCTGCACCCCACATCCCCGCTGCGTGCCTGGCACGTGCCCGGCGTGGCTAGCGGCCGCTGTGCCCACAGCCCAAGCAGTTTCGGAAGATGATCCAGCAGACCTTCCAGCAGTACGCGCTGCTGCGGGAGGAGGAGTGCATCCTCAAGTTCCTCCACACCCTCGCCACCTTCGCCAACATCGACCAGGAGAGCTACCGCTGCGAGCTCATCGTGAGTCCGCCGAATGGGATGGTATGGGATGGGATGGGATGAGATGGGATGGGATGGGATGGGATGAGATGAGATGGGATGGGATGGGAGCGCGTCCACCTGCCCAGGGTGCTCTGGGGCCAGGCGCATTGGCTGTGCCCCCCCCTCCCCGGGCCAGGCAGTGTGCAGGGGGGACAGTGCAGGATGAGGACAACCTCCATCACGAGCTGGTGTTTGAGACTGCATGCCCCGTGCCCTTAAACCCAGCAAAGTCTTGCTAAAGATGCAACCACGGTCATCAGTGCTCTTAAGCTGTTAATTAACCCTGCACGGCGGGGCAGCGGGCTGCCACCCGAAGCATCCCCTGGCACCGTTTAGGCGGTGCAGAGCGGGATGCTCGCAGGTGGCAGCGTGGACAAAGCCACCCTGCTGTGGGCTGCTCCCTGCCACAGTACCCGGGCTCGGAGAGGAGCTCGGCCACGCTGAGCTCAGGGGAGACCCCGCGGGGAGTTTCCAAGGTTTGGAAATCACTCGCTGTCCCCCAAGGGAGGCACAAACCCAAAATCCCCTGGGGAGGGGATTGCTGATCCTGCAGGCCCCCCCCCCCCCCCCCCCCCCCCCCCCCCCCCCCCCCCCCCCCCCCCCCCCC